TGGACTGAATATTCTCTTCCCTTCCCGACACAATCTTTCTTTTCAACATACGCATGCAACTCTTTCCCTTTTCTCTTCCCTTTCCCTTCCCTTCTTTCTCCCTCTGTCTTCTTCTTAATCTAGCTTTTATTTCCTCCGCGTTTTTCCAACAGCGTTTGTCTTCTTATGCTTCCCTTTTGTTGAAGTATCATCCGCTAGAGCTGAAGACTATACCTGTACATGCAGAAGTAGAGATGTTGCGTGCTCTTTGATTTAATAATGGATGACACGCTTCGAAGATGCAAAGAGATTTCTAATCTATTGATCTGTTCCATTCAGTTTTTTTGTTTAATCTATATTTGTTTATTCCGAGTGTGTTCTTGTAGTAGTTCTTGTCATCAAGTTTGAATTTATTTGATAATAAATCGTTGGGTGTAGGGAATTTATTTGATAATAAATGAATATTAGAAAAAACGAAATTGTATAATTTACTATAATTAACTACCTTAAAAATCTTAATAATCTCATTTCTATTGTGTCTATTTTATTATGGTCTGCTTATTTGTATTCAAAATATTTTTCTCATATATTTTTTGTAGTAGCAAAAAATTCTATAACCTATTAATTCCTTACTTTTATTAACTGATAAATTATTACACTCGAATGCTGTTAACACGTGTATTCATGTCTTTTTACCATTTATTTTCAATCTATAAAATATTAATTCTTAAAAATATAATATTCTTATTTTATAGTAATAAAATTCTATAATTTATTAATTCGTTACCTCTATCAATTGATAAATCGTTACTCTCAAAGCCTCAGTATATTAATTCATATTTACCATCTTTCTAAATTTTCACTCCATTTATTTCCAGCCATTTTATTACCATCTGTTCCTACTTGGATACAAAATATTTCTCTCTTACGTTTTATGGTAACAGAATTCTATAATTGATAAATTATTATTTCCAACAGCCTCAACATGTTCGTTCAATATTTTCTTAAATTCTTGCCCCATTTGTTTCCAATTATTTTACCAGAATCCATCTACCTGTACGCAGAATATTCTCGTTTTATATTTCGTAGAAACGAAATTCTATAACACACTGATTACTTCTACTAATCGATAAATCGTCGAGAGCCTCGATATATTTATTCATATTTACTATCTCCTAAATTTTTACTCCATTTATTCCCAAACCATTCTATCACCGGTCTACCTACTTACACACAAAATATATTCCTCTCTTACGTTTTATCTACCCCCGGCACTCCTTCTTTTTCTTCGCGTTTCTACCCTTGTAACTCTCTTTTCCCCGCGATATCTTCCCTTCTACATTTTCCCTGCCGCACAATCGACTCTGTGAAACTCGCGCGTTATTCTTCCTACGCTTTTCTTCTACACTGCTTTTGCATATCTTCCCTCAGTCTCCTTTTTCTTCATCCTTCCACGTATTCCTTCCCTCTCTCTCTCTCTTTCTTTTTCTCTCGATTTTCGGCCCCTCCTTTTCCAGAGGGTGTGGAGAGGCCTTTATCTGGTTTTTAACGAAAGCAGGGCCCGGTAGCCGATTCCCTCGGAAATTGAGTAGCTATAAAATTAATTATCCTTCGTACTTTATCGCCCGGCAGTAGTTGGCTTGCACCTTCCGTTTCCTCCTTCTGCTCCTTCTCTTCCTCTTCCCTTGCCTCGTCCCTTTAGCACCCTTTGCACACGCGAGGACGCTGGAAATATCTCGTGATCTCTGCTCTGGAGAATTCTCGATTTCTCCTAACGATGCTCGGGTTTAATTTTGCTGGACATTTCGAAGGAACACACGTCATTCGTTCTCGTTTGATTTCCTTCTACTTTGTTTATTCTTTCGTTGCATCGAGCAGCTTATAAATATCGTGCGATGAACGTTGCATACAAATGTTACGTTTACTAATGAATATTTTGCAGTGAATTTTTTAGATTATTATATATCGTATTTGACTGTCAGTTTTTGAAGAATATTTCGAGATAGAGAATTTTCGGTGACAGTCTTGAAGGCTATGGACCGCAGATCTATTTCTTTTTTTAAATTTTTATCACTTGTCTGGTGTTTTCCTTTGGCCATCGAACGACGCGAAAATTGGAAAACTTGTTATATTTCTCTCGTGTGATTTTTGGTATTAATCTTGACTCGGATTCAGTTTGATTTACACTACTGACTTAATTTCAGTTCATTCCGTTTGTATGTAATATAAAGAATAGAAAAATTTGTACAAGATATATGAAATCATCATATAATTAAATCTTGGATTTTTATGCAAATTCGTGTTTTTAGAAACGTGATTAAACAATCTGAAATCAGACGGGATTTAAATATGTTTCATCCATTAAATACATATTATAATAAACACTACACTTTGTTTCTGCGATATTGTACATACGTTTCGTGATTTTTTCGCAATTTAAAATTTTTTCCAAATACATATATAAAAAAAAAAAAAAAATCACAGTTTACTTATAGCCGCCACTAGCCAATTATTCTTTTCATCAAGAAATAAACTCGACGATCCAAACGCTTTCAAAACATTCCACGAAATATTTCGCCAAGATCATCTGCTACTAAAATTGCAAGAGAAAGTCGGAAAGACAATTTTTCAAGATTTTACGATAAAATTTATGCTCCATTTAAATTGAAACAACTTTGATCTAAAACAAGGAAACGAAAAAAATAGAATACAGGATGCCTGATTTTAGTCTATAAAATTATTTCTGAGACTGTTCGTTATTCAATAATTTCGTAAATGATAGTTTCAAGATGTTTTGAAGATTTGAAAGTGTAACTCGAATAATAGTTATATAGACTATCACTAAATACAGGATAAATTTTATAGAGATTTTATAAAATAATAGTGATATATAATATTTTATAAAATAATAGTGATATGATGAATAACAACATATTAATTTATCGAATTAATTAAATTAATAAAATTAGAAATTGTAATATCAAATTAGACGTTTCTTTTTTTCTTTTTAATTCTTCTTCTTTGAACATAAATCAGTTAATATAAGGAATATTAAAATAGAAAATGAATTCAACAAGTTTCGTTCTGTTACTTCTTTTTCCCAATAACGAAACAAAATCCTCGAACATTATCTAATCAACTGGTCTCTAAGATACATATTAGTTTATCATTTCGTTCATTCAGTGTACAACGGGCCAATATCGATGAAACAATCTCAATGCTGCAACACGAAAAACAACTGAAGCATCCGTCGAATGTTTTCCGTCGCAATTCCAAAGAGAATTGTTTCCAAAGTGGCATTAACTCTGCAAAAATATTCCTGTGTCTTGTACGTAAGGAATAATAACATGATAAAAATCTGTTTATCGTCGTATATTAAATTCGCTCTCACAAGAGTGAATGAATTTCGTCCCCTCTTTTCTTCCAGTAACGAGCAGTAAAATCTGAGAAGAATCGCGCTCGTGGGTTAAAACGGAGTTCACCCCGTGTGCGAACGTGGCTATCGAGAGGAAAATTGTCGCGCGGGACGCGCGTTTCTCTATGACGTGGATATTTTTCCTTTCTTTTCTTTTTTCTTTTTCTTTTTTTTTTTTTTTCGGAAGGTTCGCAGCAGAGCGAGAGCCGCGGCGAAATTCAGCCAGTCCTTAATGAAGCTCCTTTCCGCGGACGACGTTGTGGAATTAATTAGGGAGCCGCTCTGGCCCATTTAAGTTTACGACCGTGGGTTTACGTTAATTATTACCGAGAACTAGTTGTAATTAGTCTTTCGCGAATACAAAATATCGGTTACGCGGCCTCTGAGAAGCGAAGTGCGGCGTCGTGGAGGGGCGGAGGGAGGGAGGGA